TCAGTTTTGTTTTTGAGAAAGTTTATGAAACTGGGAAAGGAAAATTCTATTGACATTGAAAAATTTCATGAAAAGCTGATTGAAACCTATGTCTGATGCATCTAATAAAGGAATTTATTAAAGAAAATACATGCTCTTTTTAATAAAATAATTTGGTGGAAAACATAATATTTCATCAGTTTTGTTTTTGTGAAAGTTTATGAAAGTGGGAAAGGAAAATTCTATTGATATTGAAAAATTTCATGAAAAGGTGATTGAAACGTACGTCTGATGCATCTAATTTTGGAATTTATTAAGGAAAATACATGTTCTTTTAAATTATTTAATTTGGTGAAAAACATATTATTTTATCAGTTTGTTTTTAGAAAAGTTTATGAAACTGGGAAAGGAAAATTCTATTGACATTGAAAAATTTCTTGAGAAGGTGATTGAAACGTTTGTCTGATGCGTCTAATAAAGGAATTTATTAAGGAAAATACATGCTCTTTTTATTAAAATAATTTGGTTGAAAACATAATATTTCATCAGTTTTGTTTTTGAGAAATTATCTTAATATTTTTAGTTGCGAGCCAATTAATATTAAAACATAAAAAAGTTATAAAAAGTTTTCGCATTTATATTAATTAAAACCACATATTACGAACGTATAGGGTTTACTTTGGTATATTACGAATTTTATGTTAAAGTTTTATAATGTTTAATAGCGTTTTTAATGTTTATTACCACATTGCAGACTCCTGTATATTAATATGGATATAATGATTTCAGTAAAGTTACTGCTTTTAATAAAATATTATGACACTAATATGCATCATAATAGTTTTCACTTTTCCATAATATTACGATTCCGCGTTCTCGTTTTGTAATTGTAAGTACCCGAAAAACCATTCTAATTTTATTAAAATGTCAAGACATTGTGACTAGTCAAAGTATCATCGTCATGAATACAGATTATTCTATAGAAATTTTGTATCTTGCGAAATGAGATGACGGCATAAAAAGTTAAATATGATGAAACTGATTAGCATTTCCTTTTTATTCCGCTCAAAGAATATGAATAATATTTTATCGGTTGAAAAGGCTGGAACTTTTCAGCTTCTTAAAATTTAAGTCTGTGGGATTGTTACTCGTATAAATGTCGATGGGGTATTTTAATAATATAACATAATATATAAGACAGATAAAGATCTATAAGAGACAGATAAAATATCCATACTTTAAATTGAAACTTAGAATTAATATTTAAATATTATTATATAAAAAGTCAATGCTTAATCATTAAATACCAGTGATCAACAGAAATATGACCCAACATATTAATAAAAAAACTAAACTAATACTATAAAAATTAGACAATTCATTGATTTTATTAATCATATATTAAATGAAATTATTAATCAATAATGTTACTAATTAATATTGTTATTATATGTTTAATAAATTTAATTTATTTTAGCATGATTACAAAGTTTCAAGTTCACCTTTATCAATTGAAGTTATTATCAATATTAGCAAGTATTCAACAATACTTGTATCAATCAATATAATGCATACATCAATGAAATATACTGAAGAGATATTCATTGATCTTTAATAAACTACTTATTAGTATTAATTACAGAATTATGTGCTAATATCTTATGTATACTTGTTGGCGATTAATCATTGCTTATTTTACTGCTTTAATATTATACCATTTTGACCTGGTTTACCCTTATTATGAGAGTAAGGGTCGATTTATAAGAAGTATTATATTAATGTGAGATTTAGCATTAAACCTTTTACTAATTTAATTTAGTGTAGGATCTGCTACACTGAACATATTGCTTGTTATATAATAGTTCTCAACAATGAAGTATATGATGTTTATTATTCATGAGTTACCTAATGAATTATTAAAATACAACGAAAATTCGAAGTTCACAGACCGATTACAAGATAAAAATATTTTGGCGAGATTTTACTGGCTTGAATTTTTACTTCTTTATATGATAAAGTCGTGGAATTATGTACATATTAATCCATTTTCTCTAGAACAGTACATTAATTTAAAATTTGTAGTTCTAACTGTGCTCATAAATAAGTTTTATGCCGTGTGTTTTATAGCCCGATGATGCATTAATCATGTCCCCAAACCGCCGTAATGTCTACTCGACTGCGGAATAGAAAAGTTGTGTTTACGAGGGAAGGTAAAGTAACTTCTACTTAAACTTCTTGACCAGGAAGTGTGAAATGGCTAAATTTGTTCCATTTTACTTGAATAACAGGAAAATCAGGTATATTATAACTAGAAAAACATAAAACATCAAATAAGTTACGAATCTACTAAAAATATAAAAATTCATAATTGAAACTTTACTTGATTCCATTTTTTAGTACTTAGTTCTAGTTTCCAATATGCATTCTATTCAAATAAGAAATGTCGTAACAAATTGTCGATGATAGTTTAAATAACTAGATCACTCACTAGGCGGCGTAAACCAAAATGATTTTTTCTACATTGTTAAGCCTTTTCAATATTTCATAAGAATATTGAAAAATCATGGACTACTTTTTTTGCAATGATCGCAATATATCTTACGGGTTAATTATTTTTAGCAAACGTATCATTTTTAAAATAGTAACAACATATAGAATAAAATTCAAAGTGTGATATGAAAAATTCACCAAAATAAATAAGTTCCGCTAAAATAAATTATGTTTCATTCTTACAAAAATAGTTAAAACTAATCATTGTAAAAATAAAAACTTAGTTTTTTATTTAATAATTTGTTTGCAATAAGTATTCACAAGAGAAAACCATGGTAAAAGATTAGTTGTTCGTAGAGCAAAGCGTTCAATTATTGGCATCGATATTTTTATACTTTGAATTCTTGCTTTGAATATTTGCTTTTCTACTAAAATAATCCACTAGAAACTAGAAACGAAAACCAATTTATTTAACACTATCTACCAAGTACCGGGCGATCGACCTTTGAAATCATTCTGAAAACAAGATATTTTCAAACGTTATAATACTGTTATTAAACTATATAACAATTCATAGAATATGCATATAATATTTTCTTTACTTCTATAAAGATATTTAAAATGAATTGTTCTGTCAATAGCCGCACAATTTGATCACGAGCTGTGACAATAATCATACAAGAATTGCATGTAGATGCGAGATTGATTATAAATTATTGCATATTCTTACCTAGCTGAAACTTATATTGAATATTATATAATATTCAATAAAGATTTGAGCGATGTAATTCAGCAGCAATATATTTTCACGGCGCTCTCATAAATTCACCGCGACAATTTCGCGCGTATCACGCGTGCCATATTATTTTTTTATATTCGTTATATATCATATCGCCATGGCACATTTTATGTATATTGTCGATGAAGAAATAAACGTTTATGCTGAAACGTATTTTTATAGTCCGATTTTTTTAAACGAATAAAAGCCCTGTGTCTATCATTCATGCGAGGAATTATTTTTCAACGTTTCATAGTAGAATTCTTCTTTAAATTGTTACATACAAACACATACACATACCCATCTATATATTTATATATATATATATATATATATAATTAACATAGTTTCCATGTTCCAATTAATAATTTTACTAGTAATAGTTTAGCGTTGTCTGTGCTGGTGCATTTCTTTTTACTATCGAATTACAGTCTCAAGTCTCAAAGTAGATTAAAACAAGCGCTATAATTTTTTATGTAAATCATGTTCAATAGAGAATTGTTTGATAAAATAATCATTCTCGACTTAATAAAATTAGAAAAGAGTGTATGTGTCGAAACCCAACAAAAGATGAAAAAATCATGCAAAAACTTAATATCTGAATCCATTTTGTGGTGCGATAATCGGCAGAAGAAGCGCGGAAGTTGGTTTTCCGTTTTTCCGAGATGAAGGACTTGGTAGGAAAGCCGGACTTCCGTTTTCTACAGTTCGTTCGATAAAAGCATAGACCGTTATTTCCGATTCTGTGAAAATGTGACCATAAAACGCTTATTAGCACCCCTTGAGGAGAATGACAATAGAATCAGAATAACATACGCACTCATACATGATAAATACATATATACATGCAGGGTGTCCCAGAACTCAATGCCAAGCCGAAGCCATGCCATGAAAAAAAAATTAAAAACATCTCGAAGTTTGAACATTTTGAGCTTTTAAGTGTAATCTAGAGCTTTGGTAAAAATATGACTATTTTTTGGTTATTGTGATTAATTTTCATTTGTTATGTTTATTTTATCTTCTGATGCGTAAATGTATATAATATTTCTAGGACCACAGCGGCAATTGTGCTTATTTTTTATTGTGAACTTAGAATTGTTATTAACGATTGCGGATCAAAAGCTAGAAATTAACAAAATAATAATTAAATTAACATAAAAATACTAATATATATATATATATATATATTTATATATATATATATATATATGTGTGTATGTTGTATGTATATGATATGTGTAGTAGTTCGTCTGTATCGTCAACATCAGATCTGAAACACTGGGTTATTGTCTGATGTCAAATTTGAATAATATTACTGTGTGATATGTTGCCATCTAGTTGTCTGCAATTCCATTGGTAACATGGTGTAGAGGCAATTTATATCAGTTTCAAGAGAATTCACGTCGCACCTGACAGAATGGCTCACATTACCACCATCACGAGTGCGAGAACACCTCTAAACCGAATTCGTAAACCAATGAAACATTTTGCTGCTTTGAATAAGAAAATTACGGTTAATGATTACACATTTATCAGATAATGGTACAATGCAAATTCTTTATCAAATCTAATTAAATATGAATCCAAGGTATAACTTCTGCTTAACAAGGTATACATCCGTATTGCGTTTTTTCAGTCTAATTAATACTAAACTACTTACGCTCTCCGCAATTAGTACGAGGATTCTGAAGCTTTTACCATTTTTTTTATAAATTTAAGAAGTTACACAATTTTAATAAAAATAAATTTTCAGATATATGTCAAGCGGCAGTCCGGATAAAAGCTCTCCGCGTGCCTGCTGTGGTCCAGGATGGGGGTGTAGATAGTGTGCTCCTGGACTGCGATTACGAGCTGAGAAATCCTTACGGCCTGGTCGTCAAGTGGTACTTTGCTCCTGATGGCAAAATGACTATGCGGCCAATATATCAGTGGATAGCTGATCAGAAGCCGCATGCATTGGGAGCTTTCAAAAGTAAGCTTATAAAAGTAAAATATTAATTTTTGCATTTTTAGGTATATTAAATTATATAGATATACAAAATTTATGAATTACGTTCGAAAATATTTCGTAATGAATATTATTATGAAGCTTATTTTAACCATTCTCCTAAAATAGGTGGTTTTAGGAGAATCGAGGAACCAGTCGTTTTAGAGGATTTCTAAATTGATTTATTAGTACATGATTTCAAACTGCATACAATTAAATTATTATATTTTAGATAGCACTAATATTACACATTCGCTGTTAAAAAATATTTGTTGACTACCATAGGGTAAGTTATAGTAATCGCAAAAAATCGAAAATGAAAATGAAAATAATATTAAATATTTGTATTAATAATATCACATTCATTCAACGTCGAGCGGTCGACGAGTACACATCTAGTTGCGTAAAATACCTGATATAAATAATAGATCAACAACAAAGTGTGGTGAGTCACAGGCAACTCGGGCCTGATGACGTTCCGTTATCGGTTTATAGAAATAATACAGTGAGTACAGAGGTCGAGACAGGTATAAAAATTAGTAATGCAGTGCGTTTAATTAATAATAGTGATTGTATGGAATATGAAAGTGACGATGGAAGTGATTATAGTGATAGTAGTTTAATGAGTGAAAATAATGATGGTAAAAAAGTTAATTTGAATACTGTAAATAGTGTTAAAAATACTGATATAAGATGTGGTAATAAAAGTGTCAAGATTAGTACTAACAAATTAGATACAAGAAAAGAATACAAAAAAATGGATAAGGTAAATAGATCAAAAATGAGTCCGAAGAAAAGTAACATTAATGAAGGAGTAATTAAAAAAATGGTACTGGGAATAAAAGATGATCAGGCAAAGGAAACAAAAAATATCAATGAAAATAATTTAAGAAATAATAAAAATGAACCTCAGCGGAATTGGAATGATATGGTAATAGAAGAAGAATTAAGTAGTAGTTCTAACAATATAGAAGTTTTAAAAGAAACTAATAAGAAGAAAAATGATATGGAAATTGAAGAAGAAAATAGTAGTAATCCGGATGTTATAGAAGCGGAAAAAGGAAATGGAAGGAATGACAACCACATGGTTGTTGAGGAAAATTCTAACAAGAGTCAGAGTGAATTAAAATTAAATATTGAGAAAAATTACTATAGTGCATTAGATGAAGGCCCATATGTAGTTTATGCTGAATCAATGAATCAAAATTTGGGTAATTATCATAATGTGGCACTGGGTAGAATAATATATAAAATTTCCCCAGTAATAAGTAGAAATATTGACAATTTTTCAAAAATAGGCAAAAACAAAATTAAAATAGTTTTCAAAAATTATGAATATGCGAATAAAATAATTAGGGAAGACCTTTTGAACAAGAATAATATAAAAGTATATATCCCTAGACATAAATTATTTAGGGCGGGGATAATTTTCAATGTGGATGAAGAAATGGATGAGTCAGAAATTAAGGAAGTAATAAAATCAGATATAGAAATAATTGATGTAGTTTGTATTAAAAAAAGAAACAAAGATACAAATAGTCTGAAATCTCAAATGGTTAAAATTTTATTCAAAGGAAATTACTTGCCTGAAAAAGTATCAATATACTCAGTAAAACTTCAAGTGAGTCCATTTGTACAGAAAGTCATACAGTGCCACAATTGTTGGCGATATGGTCATATCCGCCTGCAATGTAAGGCCAAAAAAAGATGCCGAAAATGCTCTAGAGAGCACAACGCTGAATTGTGTCACATAGAAAAAGATTTTGAATGCGCTGGATGTCACAAAAATCACGAAGCAAATGATAAAAATTGTGAAGTTTACCAATTCAATAAAAATGTAAAAGAGCTAATGGCTTTTCAGAATATTTCGTACTCGGAGGCCAAATTTATTCTTCGGAAACAAAATTATGCAGAAGTAACAAAAATAAATCACTTCAATCCAGACTTCAAAAAGACATTTCCTAGAATTAACGAAGCAGTTAATTATGGAACAAACATGATAAATAAAAATAGGTATGAAGCACTGAGTAACCTTCAAGAACAAGAAATAAATATTGATCAAAGTAGGTTAATGCTGATGAATAAACCTAGAAGAATTATGGAAAGAAGACAAACTGAAAATGGCAGATATATACAAATGAATAACAGGAATTTAAAACAAACAAGTGGAGAGAGAAATTCACAAAGGCGCGAATATTGCGGCAAAAATATAGAAATAGAAGAAATTAGGAAAATGCAAATAATCCATGAGGAGCTAGTTAAAAAACTGAGAGAAAAAATAAGGAACAAAGAGTGTGATGATCTAGAGGAAGTTGTGGTAAAATTTAAAAAGGATATGGATATAATTTACGAGAAGTATAATAGTGTGGAAGTTAGAAATATTAGTGAACAACAAATTAAAGTTGGTTTTGATAATAATAACATAAGTTGAAATTATTAGAAGTAAAAGAAAATTGATAAACGTTTAAACAGTTAAATTCAAATTAAAACCAAATCTATAAATTTCATTATGCATTTATTACAGTGGAACATTAGATCGTTTAATTCTAACAAAGAAAGTTTGGAATTCTTTTTATATCAAAATAAAACTGATGTTATATTTTTATCAGAATCCTGGTTCAAATGGAACCGACGGTATTATTTAAAAAATTACAATATAATCAGAACTGACAGATATGACGGGAAAGGTGGAGCGGCTATAATTATTAACGAAAGAATTAACTATCAGATTGTAAATATAGATATTGGAGAAATAGATATAAACAAAGTCCAATTATGTGCAATATCAATAATAGTAGGAGATAAAAAAATATATTTGGTATCAATATATATATCGCCAGGTACACACGTTACGAAACAACAATGGAATTATTTATTTGAGAATATTCCTAGACCGTTCATTATAGCTGGAGATGTAAATGCACATCACCATTCCTGGGGATGTAACTATAATGATAATTACGGAATGAATTTAATGGAATCAATTGAAGAGTGTAATTTATTTGTATTAAATAATGGTTCCCCAACACTTGTGTTTAAAAACACTAAAACTGTAGTTGATGTTACAGTGTGCTCTTCTGAAATATTTCATTTAATAACATGGAAAGTAATAGAGGAAAACTTAGGCTCTGATCATTATCCTATTTATTTTTATTTGGATATAGTGAGAAGTAACAGGATATTGATTCCCAATAGAAAATGGAATTGTCGTAAAGCTGATTGGCAAAAATATAAAATAATGATTGAACATGAAATCTTATCATTGGGCAATCATTTAGATGGTAACATTTATGAAAAATTCACAAATATTATAAATCAAACTGCGGAAAAATGTATACCAATAAATAAAATGTTAACAACATCTCAAGTGAGGAAACCAGTGTGGTGGGATGAAGAATGTTTTAAACTGGTAGAAGAACGAAGAAAAGCAGAAAAGAACTTTAGAAGAAATTCGAGTTTAGAAAATTTTCTTCAGTGTAATAAAATTAAAGCTAAAGTTCGGAAAGAACTAAAAATAAAGAAAAGAGAAAGTTGGTGTAAATTTGTCAACAATCTAAATCCTAATACCCCATCTAAAATTATTTTTAAAATGGTTAAATCAATGAACAATTATATTTCACAGAATGAGAAGAATTCAGAATTGATTAATGATAAAGTAGTGGAAGAAGTAGTTGATAATATTGCGCCCTTTGGAGTGGGTGATGATATTTGTAAATATCTTAAAGGAAATAGAGTAACAGGTTCGGTAGAAAAGTCATTAATTAGACCATTTTCATTATGGGAATTAGAAAAATCTTGGAGCAAAATCAAAGATACTGCTCCAGGATTAGACAACATTCATTATTCTATGTTAAAAAACCTTCCACAGTCCGGAAAAGAAATTCTACTCAAAATTATTAATAAGTATTGGCTGTCACCGAATGAAATTCCTGATTGGAATAAATTTAGAGTTATTTTAATTAAAAAGAAGAGCAATAATTCTGATGATAGCAATGCATATAGACCAATTACTTTGGCGTCATGTATTGCTAAAATAAAAGATAGGATGATAAAAAGAAGAGTCGAGTGGTGGATTGAAAACAATCAGTTACTGCCCAAAAGCCAATTTGGCTTTAGAAAAGGATTAAGCACACAAGATAGTCTAAGTATATTTTCCACAGACATACATCTAGCCTTTTCAAGAAACACTTATGTCGTTGCACTGTTTTGCGATATAAAGGGTGCATACGATAATGTGGTGCCGGGAAATTAGCAGAAAGTCTTGTACATGCTGGCTTACCAGAAAAATTGATCAAAGCTATGGTGTATACTACCTTTAATAGAGAAATAGAAGTTAAAATAAATGAAAATGCAAGGACTGGAAGAGTTCTTCGACAGGGTCTACCTCAAGGAACTATCCTTAGTCCTTTATTATATGCTCTATATGTACGGGATATAGAAGGTATATGGTTGGAAGGTACAAAAATTCTACAATATGCAGATGATTTATTGATCTATATTGAAAAAGATAATTTGAAAGAGGCCATCGATATGATGTCTATGAATATGGAATTGCTGCATATTTGGTTGAATGAGAAAGGTCTGGAACTATCAGATGATAAAAGCTCCATAGGAATATTTACGAGACATTCCAACAAAAAGTTCCCAGCTTGTATTTCAAGTCCATATAATACAATTAAAATTCATTGCAACAATAAATTCCTAGGTATATATTTTGATCAAAAAATGACTTTTAAATATCATATGAATTATATTAAAAAAAGAATTGAAAAAAAGACCAGTTTAATGAGACTGATAAACAGTACTTGGTGGGGTTCACACCCTATCACATCTATTAATTTATATAAAACCATAATTAGATCAATACTGGAATATGGTAGCATAATTTTTGGACATTCGAATATGGTAAATGAGCTTGAAAAAATTCAATACAAATGTTTAAGATTTTGCGCAGGTATGATGAGATCGACACCAACAAATGTACTGTTATTAGAAACTGGTGTTATGCCACTAAAAGTCAGATATGAATGGTTGAGTGACAAATATATGTTGAAAAAAATTAATTTTAATTCATCTGAAATATATGACAGAATTAATGATTTAAATAATGAATGCGAACGTAATATTTATTGGCTGAATAAAAAAATACCTATTATTATTCAGAGTTTTAGAGAAGTAATTAAATATCAAGAAAGTATGTATTCATTTAGCATTCATCCTTATTATAATAAAATATATTTTGACAGTTGTATATTTGATAATATTATAAATATTGATTTATTAAAATCTGATAATAATAATCAAGATGCAGAAGTTATATTTACGGATGGATCGAAGGATATGGACAATGTAGGTTTTGCTATATATAAAGAAACCGATCAAACAAGTGAATGTTACAAGTTACCAGGGTGTGTTTCTGTCTATACAGCGGAGTTATTTGCAATTAAGGAGGCCATAAGAAAAGCTAAAGAACATAATTATAATAAAACAATTATAATTACGGACAGCATGAGCTGTATCAATAAATTACAAGTGTTTTTTAGAGATCTAAATTTAGAAGAAAAAATTTATTTTGATATCTTGCAAGATTTGGAGAAAATTAAAGAAAATGGAAAGGATATAAGAATAGGATGGGTAAAAGGTCACTCCGGAATTTCAGGAAACGAAAAAGCTGATGAATTAGCCAAATACGCTTGCTTAAAGGGAATGGAATATAACCAAGTATTAAATAAAGATATAATAAAAGTTATGAAAAATAAAGCAGTTAATAAATGGAAAACGGATTGGCAAATAACATCAAGATATAAAGGAAAATATTATAAAGGGGTTAACGACTTTGTTAAAAATGTACCTTGGTTTTATCAATTCAAAAATGAAGATAGATACTTTATAAGTACGATGAACAGAATAAGGTGTAACCATGGACAGTTCCCAGAACACCTGTTCAAAATAAAGATGAGAGAGTCAGCTATTTGTGACTGTGGGAAGGATGTTGGATCTTTGGAACATATAATTTTAACTTGCAGCAGATATCAAGAAAATAGGGATTATTTATTATATGAATTATATAGAATTAAAAATTTAGTTAAACCATTTAATTTATTTAGTTTACTGTCAAATATTGATTATTATAAAATTATATATAATTTTTTAGTTAAATGTAAAATTAGAATATAAATGTAGGAAACTTTGTATATGGCTAGTTTGTAAATAAGAGGCCAAATAAAATAAATAAAAAAAAAAAAAAATATCACGTTGAATATACATCTAGAATTGGTTTATTACATACTGAGTATATATCTTGATTCGATGTATTACCTGATGCATAAAATAAGTCTAAATCACGTTATTTCATACCATAAAACTAACTTTTAAGTAGAATTATATACTGAACATACAATGCTTAACTTACTCTTCTCCGTATAGAGACTATATGAAAAGTTTCTTACAGGGTTTTGTTTCATGGCGGAATAATGAAACGTTGATCTAGCAAAAATAAAAGAAAAGTCACAAAGAAAAATAATAAATCTGGAAAAGTTAGCCAGGCACGTCGCTCATGTATATCCTTCTGGATAATACCCACGTCTTTAATGTGGGTTTAGGAAAGCTAGTGAAAAAGAATCAACTGGAACAAAAAAAAAACTAAAACTAGGGATGAAAGATTTAAATAAATCTATTGTACCACTTTCATTTCAGAATTATCTCAGTAATCATCTATTAACATCAAAGCGAAAATTGTTTTATCATACAGTAAATTATTCTGTTATCCCTGTTATTGCATCATTAAGACCTCATATTCTTAATTTATTTATTATATTACTTATAATTCAAATTGCGGACTATTAGTAAGATTTATAACACGATTATATGTTACAATCATCATTTACCATGTTTTTATATTATATCTTATATTATTTAATCTATATGTTTTTTAGCATTTGAGACTTCTATAAAACTCTGTTCCATTTTCTTCATAATTAACTTGAAAATATTACTATTGGCTTGTTTCTTTTCTTTTTTTTTAATTTTATGAAATTAAATTCGCCTATGGAATTTTGTATTCAGCAATTTTCTCATTCATAACGTTTACAAGAGATAAAAAACACATTGATTCACATAATTAATTTGAAAAGTAGTTGTAATTTAATTTTAATTAAGAAAAAACAAATTTTAATTTAGGAAATTTTAATTAAGATTTAAACCCATACTTTTCAAAAATCCGGGACAAATATTGATTTTGAAAAAACCCGGATCAAAAGATGAAAACCCGGAACTGTCCCGGATAAACCATAATATAGGGATTATTATTAATTATTATTATTAAGTGTTCATTAATAATACTTTAATATTGATTTGTGGCATACCAATTTTGTAAATATTTTAATGCATTGTCTTCCTCATTCATGTTGAATATCGTTTCCTTGATCGCTCGCATGTTTGATGATGAATTTGGAAAAAACATTAATTTTATCAAAATATTTTAATTTTTATTAGTAGAATATTATACTCGTTTTCTATATGGACTATATTAAAGTATGCATCTCGTTTATTTTCAGATTTTGTAAATTTATCATACAAGGCCTCGGATGATCCAAACTTCAGATATCGTGCCATGAACTTGTTAAAGCCGACGCGAAATATGTCGGGCACATACCAGTGCGTCGTCGAGACCTATTACGACGGAACGGCTCAGGAATCTGCCAAAATGCTCGTCTATGGTACGTGGAAACTATAATACTAATCGTTATGTTTCAAATTATCTCTTAAAATTATTCTAAAGCTGCAGAATATAGTCATACTATGGAGTTTTAATTAAATATAGTACGCGACTGGTCTAAAAGTTTCGAATGAAATGAAAATACTGACAATTTCTTATTCTCCTGTGTTTTGTCACAGAGTAGACAACCGAGTAGATAACCGAGTAATTACGAAGTTCTGGCACTTGAGGTCGATTATATATATCAATTGAGGGTTGAACAATTAAATAATTGGGCAATTGTAATCTAATTACGATTATATATTTAGGTATAGAACTTACAATTACTAAAAATTTATACCTAAAAAACAAATAACTAATTCACACAATCCCATATGTATAAAAGAATTTAAAACCTACTCGACAAACATTAAACTAAGTACTAATACTTTAAATTCTTATAATTGAAAGTTTTTAAATCTTGATATAGTGCACAGTACAGTTTTGTATTTAATTGTTAGAAATTAACATGAGTTTTAGTCGCCAAAAATTATTTAGCATCAAAAAAAGATATCAGATTTATGAATAAAATATATGCATGTAGCACATGATTCACTGAAATTACATAAAATTTTATCGTGAATTTTTTTCACTACAGATAATCAGAAGTATTATTATGTGAAAATAAGTTAATTAATTTGTAATTAATTAGGTTATTTTCACATAATAAGTAATTAATTTTATAATTATTAATTTCCAATTATATTACAAAATATTTGTGTACAAAAGTATTATCCCATTCTACAAAATAACCCATTTTCACATTGGTGCCTATTATGACACCAATGTGGAAATAGATTAATTTGTAATTAATAATTTCTAGTTTTATAAAAATGTATTACAAAATTTTACAAAAATATGTATTATGACATGTCATTCTCATTTGCTCGGATCTGATGTTCCAGAAGAAATATGGAGCTAATTAATTATTAATTTGCAGCTAATATTGAATTATATTTCTAAGGCCATTTCTTCTTTAGTCTCTTTATTGAGATGTAATTCATAATTAATCGCGTTCTATTATTTGAGTGTTCATCAATTCTTGAGTGGTTCATTGATACTGTTTTTATTGAACAACTGGGTTCACTTATTAGGTTATTTGGTTGGTGGAAGCGTAAATTTCTCATGACAAGAAAATAAAGGAATTTAATGATGTAATCACTATTGCCACACGGCTGGATTGTGTGATTTTTTAATACCCTCAAAATAGTACTAAAACATCTGTTGTTACAAGATAGTTTGCAAAAATGTATATAAGTTTGTGTTTCACCGAGATGCTGCCGAACTCTATTAGGCACACTTGAATTTCATTTATATTTTCGAAGAAACAGATATATTTAGATAGTGGCTATATCAGAGCGATTAAAAGATGATGAATAAATGTTTAATTGTTGTATATTTAAATGAAATACTACTATATTAAGACTTACAGATGATATGTTACTTAGATAAGGTTTGAATTGATACTTACGTTTGTTAGATGATTTTTTAGATATTACTCCTTTGAGTGTTGATATAAGACTGATATTAGATGAAATTTCAGTTATTACTAAATTATAATGATTTCACAATTTTATATTATTTTTCTGATTGGTTCGTTTTTGTGGGTTCAAGATGGGACATCCCATTACATATTTGACCAATCAGGTATTAACCGGTGAATCCATGGTACGTGGAATTCAATCGGGAACAGGTGATTAGAGATTCTTAGAAAAATGGATAATTGGTATGATTTAGGGACAGGATGCATGACAATGAGAGGGATTATTTAATAGTTTTAAATTATACAATAAGGGATGAGGGTTTATTATTGCTATCCTGCATGAAGGTAATAATATATAACAATATCATTCTATTAGACCAGGGACGAATAAGGCGTTAACAGCATCAATATCTTTCATTAAAAATGTGCTCCATATTCTACCTTACAACACACTAATCCACCATTATATAGATCATAGCCAATACTCATTTCTTACTTTTTCTGAGTAACAAAGATTAATTATTACATTATTTATACTGTTTTCATTCACTATATGCTGTTACAGAGCTATCTACCCAATAGATTCAAACTAATGGGCATTACATTCGAATTTATAGCTACTAACTACATAATGCCAAAAAACAAACTGTAACATACTTATTTTCAAGTAATAGCTATTTATAAATAAAACACATAAAATTAATTAATATTGAAAGTATTGTAAACTGCTATTATAAATTTGATGGCGATTTGTTTTACAATGTATTGATCGAAAAAGCAATTTAATAAATTTTAATCCAACGACATCGTTTTCCGTCCACACATTTGGTTTTCGTTACAAATAATTCTGTCCCAATCGCTGAGCCTTTGCGAATGTCTATGGGTTAAAATCGTTTCGCAATATCCTGTTCGATGGCAACGGAAACGCACGGTTCTGCACTATAGGCAAACGGAAGTCCTCAAGCGTTTTGACGAATATATGAGAACAAGCTGTCGATATCATGACTGAGGTAATATGAGTTACGGACGCGGAAAGCTTTAGGCGACGATTCGGTGATGATGTCAACGGCAAATAAGATTCACTAATTAAATATATGTATTATTAATAATTCTTTGAGTAATATTGGAATGAGCTGCAAATGATTTAATATCATTTAGCTTATTGACTTTGCTATCAATTCGTGTGTTAAATGCGCAAAATGAATATCGTGCCTTAAGGCAAATGGCTGGAACTTCCCGTACCAAAATTATTTTTTTAAAAAAAGATTAACATCTTTGAAAAAATTGCACTTTGAAAAAATTAGATTTTTGAAAAACTATAAATTTTTGACAAAAATTTACTTTTTTTAAAAAAAAGACATTTTGTAAAAAATGTTTCTTTATTTTGAAATATCTTGGAAATTTTGAACTTTTTTTCAAAGCAATCGTACTAGTTTAACGACAAAGAGACGAAATATCGAAGCCCGTAAGCGCCGCGTCGCCGCATAACTGATAAACGTTGGTACGAAACTCATAGGAAATTTAAACAAAATTTATACTTATTGTTAAAATCTCTGACAAACTGAGATACCATTTGTGGCACTTTTTGCCCCTCATCTTTGCAACGGCTAGACCTGTCTATGCTAAAAACTAATCAGCACGTCGCCTTATCAGAAGAAATCGAATGTTTTTTGAATAATTGAAATCGGTTGAACCGTGTTCCCAAAATCGTCGACGAAAATTTGTATCCGCACATACGCACACACACATATACATCCATTTTTTTCAGGTATGCCAAAATGTTCAGAAGGTTTTGAAACGTAAAGATATATAAAAATTTTCATTTTCGTTTTTTTTGCGATTACTATAACTTACCCTACGGGAAGTTAATTATGTCAGTGGTCAAGTGTGAATAATTTTTTAAAATCAGATGTTTGAATAGTCGCATAAATTAATTAATGGTTTAAATTTTGTCAAACGTACTTAATTTTTTTTTACCTTAAATTGATTAAAGAAATTAATATCAGGGGAAAAGTTAACTCCACCAAATAACTAATTTTGGTACAAATTCGATTCAACCACTAGGATGACTGGTACATAATAATGTAAATACTTATAAATATCAAATGTTGTACTTAATTTCAGATTTTTTTTAATGTATTCGATATGGGCGAACGGCTCAAATAGAAATGTTTGTAATTTGTAATATATAATATTTTTTCTAAATATTAGTTAAGTGACAATTTAACACTTTACTCTCATTAAAACCTTATATTACAGATCCAGATTACGAGATTAGATTCTTAATCATATAATAGATAGATTTTTAGATTAGGGTGCACTATAAGACACAAAATACTTTACCTACAAATTCTTTAAGATTGATTAGTTTTGATACCACTTCTTAATTCTTAACATGTCAATAGTTTATTATACTTCATTTATTTTACTTATTTTAAATCTTGAATATTGATTTTATAAGAACTATAAATTAATTTAAGAGTTTCATATTCTTAGTTTTTTTCATAAATCGTAAATTCGATTTTTACAAATCATTTAGCAGAACAGTATTCCATTACAATGACATTAAAGGAATTTCTGTTATTTTTTTCAACGTTTTAGACTTCTAATTTTTTTCCTAATTATTTATTTCAAGTACTTATTTATATGTTTATAATGCATTAACACAAGTATAGTGTTTTATTCGATATTTTTAAGTGTGTTCTTTAAAATTTCTCAAGTTCGCTCCAACTTTGAAGTTCACCAGTTTTTTTTCGTAAAACTTCAAGTCATTTCTTGAGAAACTGACTTCTTGAGAAATTTAATGACTTCAATTATACCAACCCTCTTACATTAATATTTCTTAGTAAACTTTTCAGTTTTCAGCCTTTTTCTAAATCTTGCGCAATATTTAGATTTAACGCATCATTAACTTTCCTTAAGTAGCTTGAGAAAAGAAGAAAGAAAAACAATTTTCTTTGAAAAAGGGTTTTTACGCGTTGTAAATTATGTTAATTATAAAAAATCGTTGCAGATTTTTCAGAAAAGGAAATTAATTTAAAACATTAGTATACAGAATTAAAATGGTACTATCACCGATATTTGGAAAATATATTATTTACTAAAATTGCAATGACTATGATAATTAAGGGTGCAATTGCTTTGCGTATTTATTGCCTGTCGAGATTAATTTGACTCAATGCCACTAAGTGGCATGTGTATTTTGGGCTTTCAGCTATTGGGGCGATTAAGGGCTCAATTGAAACTTGATTAATTAACCGACTATAATTCAATTTCGAGTACTTCGATGAGATTAATTACATTCCGGAAACTTTAATATATCGTAATTTAGGACATTAGCTAAGATGTCTTCAGTGTCGCCACAATGGTGGTTCATATTATCTATATTATTGGTTCAGAACATTTTATTGCAAAATTATTTTCTTATGTTTCGTATTGTCAAAATTATTTTCTTATGTTTTCATATAGGGCTCGCCCGT